CGGCCACTGGGTCTCCAGTATCTGAGAGACAGGACGCGGGCGCCTCTCGTAAGCCCGGGGCTGGGAGGCAACCGATGCTTCGTGACCGAGGTGAGCGCACGGTCGTGGGCCGCACAACCCGGGCGGGGCGCATGGACCGACCAGGGCGGGCGGGGTGTCCGCCAACCGTGAACCCAGCTTGCGCCTCTCATCCCAGAGGGCGAGGGCCCGCGAGGGTCCCGGGAGCGCCAGAGCTCCTGTGCGCCGAGCGCGGTTTGGGGTCACTGAAAACTTTCACCCTCCCTGGACTGGTGAGGTGAGCAGATGAAACTAGGAGCTGCGCGCGTGGGGACCACGACTCCCCACCCTAGACCTTCTGCTTTGTCTGAGGGGAAAGAGACCTTCTAGAGGCATCTCTAGGCCTGCATGTGCAACTCCTGCCTTCTCTCTCTATTTCCTCTCAGAAAGTTCACCCTTTAGGCCTTTGCTTTTCCTGTAAGGCTAACCTAATCCACCAAGAGTCTCAAGAATACGAAGCTTAGAGGGGCTTTTTGTTTGACTTGGTTTGGTCTTTTGAGACAGGGTTTCTCTGTGTAGCCCTGGCTATCCTGTAACTCGAACTTTCAATGTACACCAAGCAGGCCTCAAACTCAGGGAGTTGCCTGCCTCTGCCTCCAGAGTGTTGGGATTAAAGGTATGCACTGTCATCCCCTGACTGAAACTTAGAGCTGTTTGTTTGTTTACATTTTCACCTGTGTGAGCACCACTGTGGCCAAGGAATGTGCATATCTAGATCCTAGGGATTTACAGTGTTCCACAGTGACACACACACACACACACACACACACACACACACACACACTGCTTTGACTGCCTGTTACCATGACCTTGTCAGTTAATGAACTCATCTTAGAGCCACATTTGAACTCCTGCCTGCTACTGTCCCTCAGAACTATGTCTCACCCAGACTGAAGCAGTAGGTCTTTTCGTTTCTGTAGCTACTGCTATTCGTGGTCTTTTGGGTTGTTTCAAACTCATTAGACATAAAGCTGCTGTTCTTTGGACTGTAAGTGGGATCCCTGTGACACGGTACACACCTGTTGTGCTTCATCGAAGTGCCAAACTTTTCCAAGGCTGCTGTAGCATTTCACACTATCAACTGTGGCTATTGAGAACCCTAGTTTTAACTCCATTGATCTCTCTGGTTATAAGCATGTAAGGAGTCTTTTTTCTGTCCTGCCAGCCAGCTCCCAAATAATGACACAGAGACTTATTAATTATGAAAGCTTGGCCTTAGCTTAGGTTTGTTCCTAACTAGTTCTCTTTTTTTTTGGTTTTTCGAGACAGGGTTTCTCTGTGGCTTTGGAGGCTGTCCTGGAAC